AGCCAGGGGGGGGCAAAAAATTTTTTTTCGCGCTTCGCGCGGAATCTTAGCCCCCCCTGGCTAAAATCCTGTGTACGCGCCTGTAATTTCACATTATACAAAGAAAACTTTACATCATTTTACGCATGTATGGGCATCAGTATTTCCAATCGGAATTCTGTTGCGCGGAATTGCGCGCAATGATTGTTTTCTCTTGCGCCATTTCATTGCGCGCACTTTCTTTATAATTGCAAACAAGGAAGCAATGAAATATTCGCGGAATTGCTTTGCAATTAGGCTTTTCCATCTAAAAATAAATAATTTTGAAGTGTCTAAACAAATTTATGCAGCAGATACAAGAATGAAAATGGACAGAAGTTATTTAACTTAAGTTATTTTAAAATAATCCATGGGCACTTGGAACATTTTTCAATATTTTAAAATTTAAAATTTCTTGTATTATAGTTAAGCTATTAATTAATAATTTAATGATACATTTTTTTGGTTAAAATTGAAAGATTCATTTGATCAAAATTTGATATTTTGCTACAATGAGAACCAGAAAACATAGTAGAGGAAAACAACATTACAGTGTATTAGATGTTGTCACAAAACAAAAATTTTAATTTGTAACTTATTGCATTACTTATTCAGTAAAGGCAGACCCAGAGTCTAAAAGTCGTCTTTCTATACCAGAGTTTTCTGGTTATCATGCTGTAAATGAATATTGTAAAATAAAAAGTTAGGTTTAAATTCAATTTTCTTAGCATTTGAGACTGAAATGTAAGTGAAGCTCAATTTAATGTATGCCACTACCAAAGTTTAAATTGATTTTGTTTACAACTCAATGTTGTTGAACAGAATTGCACAAAAATTATGTTTTTTTTTAACTTTAATAATTTATTTTAATTAAATTTTACAAAATTTTTAAATTTCAATATGATATCAGATGGAAATATTTTGAGACTTCTATATTTCTTGTTATTCATTCTTTCTTCTTGATCTTCCATTCCTTGTCCATCCTTCAATCACACTATGGCTAATTTTGAAAATAAAAATAAATGAATTTTTTGGATGTTTTCTGCAGCTAGCCAAATTGAAGAGGTAGAACTATTTTTTGGAGCCCTGGATCGATATTCTATATATTGGGAGTGGCTAGGTTACTCTCCACTTGTTTGTTTTTAATTTTGCTTCAGTCATGATACTGCGTCAGCTCCTGCATTCCTAGCTATCAAACTTTCAATTAAATTTTCTTGATGTAGAGGGGTGAGGGGGGCGTTTTACACATTTTCCAGTTTTTTATCTAGAGTAGGAAATAGAGGGGGGATGGGACGTCTGCCACCCTGTGTATTTGTCTTTAATCGCTATTTGTGAAAAAAATAGATAGTGTAAGTCCCCTTATAATTTTTCCTGTTTATAGTTTTCTTCTCACTCATCTCTACTGTCAAGAAATTTCCCTTCCACTTTTTTCTGTTCAATTTATTGTTTTCTTCTCGTTTCTTGTTTTTACACTTTAAGTTCTTTTAACAGCAGGTAGGAGAGATAAGGAGGTTTGTAGGAAGAAGGGTATAGGGGATTTCTCTGTGTTCCTTCATTTTATATTAACTTGTATTGATCTTTAAAATAATTTGAGTCATAAATATTATAAATATGTGAAATACTGATTTCAAAATATTATAACATTTCCAAAATGTAGTCCATTTTTCTTTAAAGACTTTTACTTAATGAAAATCGCTTAACATGACCTGTTAGGTTTTACAACACTCTATGCCCTTAAAAGCTTAATTTGATTAGTTTGAATTATATGTTCATTATTTTGTTTAATTAAACTGTTGATTTTAACTGAATTTCCTGCAATAGTGAAACAATGGAGAAATTCACATTACCAAAGTCAAACGACGAAATCTTCCAGGACAAGATAAAGGGAACCCACTGGACACCATGAGCCTCCGCTTTGCTGACGCAAGCCTCCCAAATTTGCTGGGCAGATCGAGCAGTAAACGAGCCTCCTCATACAGCACAGCTTTCTGATAACTCGTGATTTATACATGCAAAATTTTTTTGTCGTATTGTATTGTAGTGGCATAACAGATTATCAATTATTATAAAGAAGTGATTTATTAGTAATCATGACTAGAAAACTGGTTTATAAAACTTCAATTCTTTAACGCAAATAGGATTATGATTTAAAGAAAAAATTCTGTACGTAATTTTATTTTGATACAATCTTTGATTTCAGCAAACCTTTAAGCAGTTTTAATCCGCTAAGATGTGAAAATTTCCCAAATAATGTATTGCTTTAAAAAAATTAAAAAACTAACTAATTTAAATTCGGAAATGCATTTTAAAATAAATTACAAATCATGATATCAATATCGACATAAATGTCAATTAAGATTCTAGTGCTTAAGATCCGGATTCCGTTGGATCCGCAAGATTTTGGCTTCCTGGATCCAGGGGTCCGGATCTAAGGGGAAAAATATCAACCAAAAACTGCAAAAAAATTTTTTTACATCTAAAACCAAAATCTGAACTTTTGAAAAAAAGAGAGATTGTAAAATTTCTCATTTTTGAATGTTTCACCAAGTTTTAGGATGAAAATGTGCGATAAAAATAAAACAAATTTGAATATAATTTTTTGTTAAAAAGATTCAGTAAATCTAATAGAAATGACCTGGATCCGGATCCGGGAATTTTTTTCCGTGCGGATCCAGGATCCGGATCAATATTAAATGAATCCTAAAGCTGTGCTGTATAGCAAATGTGGAAGGCTCGTGTCTGCATGGCGTCTGAGGGTCAGACATTGTAATATTTGCATAGGATATCACTTAAATTACGCTGAACATTTTGTTTAAATTGATTTAAAAACTACGTCGCCTACAACAAATTTTATGTTCTCTTAATCTCATGAAGAAAATAAAATGGTTGAGAAAGGTTTTAAACTTTATTCAGATGGTATCCAAGCCGTGCAAACAGAAGATGTAAAGTACTGCACAGTTGTATGTACAGGCAGATTTCCAGCCCATGCACCTCGATAGAGTACAGGTACAGACTCCAAGCCAGGTTACTAAAATAAAAATAATATTATCAAGAATTCATGATCAATTCATGGATTATCTTTATCACTAAATTAAATAAGGAGATTTGATATGAGGAAGGGAAGGGGGGGGGGGGGCCATTAAAAAACATTAAAATACAGTAGTCTATTTTTTTGTTCAGATATGATGTTCAAGTCAAGGTGGGTGAGGGAACATCTGGAAAATACAATTGGGGTAAATCTATTACACAAAAATAAGATTAAGAGCGAATAACAGTTTAAGGATCCCACAGTCCACAGTAAGGCTGACTGATTTGTGACTTTTTTCTGAAGAAATTAGCTAACCGCCCACCAAAGGATGCTGCGTTCACATAAAATATTGCAGTTAAAAACTTCAAAATCGTCCATACGGTTGCGAATTGACGATTTTCAATCGGAGAAAACCATGCCCCCAAAATATTTTTAAAAATTTCATGTTTTACATCATTTTCTTGAAAATTTTATGATGAATTCAAATCTGAAAACTGCTTTCAAACAACATAAAATTTAAGGTTTAAGCTAGAAAACTCGTCAAAAACATTAAAAGTTTTAAAAACTGATGAATGGTCCGCGCTACAACCTTAAATTTTTTTTAATTTATAAAACACTTTTTAGATTTGAATTCGGCATCAAATTTCCAAGAAAAATATGTACAACACAAAATTTTTCTAATTTTTTAAAAGCATTTTTATGAAGTGAATGAAAACGCAGCAGCTCCCCCGGTGGGCGGTCGGCTTAATTCCAATATTGTTAAGGACTACACAGTACACAACAACAATGTTTTAGTCAAATATCACAATAAAAAGATTAGGTTCCTTAAGGGTTATAATTTTGTTAAGATAGTTAATAACAAAATTCTAACGCCTAGTAAAAGAAAAGTTTAAGGATGTTGAAAATCTAGTTCTATAATATCTTGTGCTAATTGGGGTGAAACCATTCCACCGTTCTATATGTGGAAGGTCTAAGGGTTTTAATCGTTCCTTATAAGTAGCCTTTGATTGATCGATTTTAAAACCCTCGCAGCCGCAGAATTCCAGAAAACAATTGCGGATCTTTCGTCAAATCAAAAATGATCTGGGTGCTACTTTTTAAGGAACAGTGACAAATCTATATTAACTGTGACAAGAAAAACTAAATGTACATCGTGAGATTACCATCTTGAAATGATGAAGAAGAACGAAGTCTACTTCTGAACAAATTATAAAATATATTTTGTTTTGTATGTTTCATCACCCCCCCCCCCCCCCCCCCCCCCCAACTCAAAAACAATATTTCTATTAAATTTACCTTCTTTGCAGCAGCTCCGACCTTAGCCTTAGCTGTTCCGCGAACCTACATTAATATTAATTAGCACGTTAAAAATATATAAGACACAATATAACCATTTTGTCACGGGACGTAACAAAAAAGTATCTTACTTGAACTAAAAACTATATAGGTAGGTTTATTTACAGGATGTATTCGACTGAGAAAGAGGACTTTTTAAGAAGTGAAATGTTAAGCGGGAAATATAATATTTTTTGATCGAAATTGATAAAGCTGAAAGTCTCAGAACGGATCGGCTAAAACAAGAGACTTCAGGACAAGCAGTACACACTGCTGAAAAGGAACCATCAGGTTTCAAGTCACAACACCTAAACTTTTTCTTTGGATTATGATTATATGCAGGCTACTGAGTTAAATTCTCACTTTACAGAAAATCTTGAGCAAATCAATTTTAAAAATAGTAGAAATCAAGTGCATTCACAGGTCTTAAATTAAACAAACATTTCGTTACAAGACTTTAATCTGCTTATTCTGGGTTTTTGATTGTATTTTTAACAGTGTATGTATGACATGGTCTCCAAATTTTTTATATAAAAGTCACAAAACTTATTGTAGCAAAAAGTCAAACCCCCTAAGATAACTGCCTGACTGTCAAAATGCGACCCGAAAAAGATTGATGTATTTTTTACTGATCTTAGTTCAAAAAAAGACATTTTTGGTCAGTAATAAGGCAATTATACAGTTCACTAAAGGCTTAGATTTTTTTTTGATAAAACAAATCTTAAGATTGTTAAGGAAAATTCACAAAATTTGGGGACCCTGTCATTTACGGTTCTTTGAACATACAGTTACGATCGAGTTTAATAAATGCATTTAATTTTTACAATTTCTTTAAAAAGGATTTAATTATAATTCCCTAGGTGGCATTTTCTGAATATTTAGATTTTAACTCAGAAGCATGCGTATAAATATATTTAAACTCAGAAGCCTGCGTATAAATATATTTTAACTCAGAAGCCTGCGTATAAATATATTTTAACTCAGAAGCCTGCGTTTAAATGTATTTTAACACAGAAGCCTGCGTATAAATATATTTTAACACAGAAGCCTGCGTTTAAATGTATTTTAACACAGAAGCCTGCGTATAAATATATTACGAATACAACTAATTTGGGGGGTTGACTTGAAAGCAGCAGTGTGCGTAACAGAGGCCTAAGTTTTCAGAACGAATTGAAAAAAATCAGAACATACTGGAAGGTCGTATTTTTTGTCAGGACGGATTGACCAATAAGATAATTTGAGGACCGCGCGGTACGACGGAGGCTTTTATCAGAACGGTATCGATAAATACCTAGTTTTTTTTCATAACGAATCGAATAAAAAAAAAATAAAAAAATAGTAATAAAGAACGTATTCATTACAGCTATAAAGTTTCCTTCATGAAGGATCGAATGATGCTTTTTATCAGGACGGTATCGATTAAAATACCAAGTTTTCCTAAGAGCCGAAAAATTCAGAGAATAAAAAAGAAGATGGAAGGATGACGGATCTAAGACCGATAGTTTACCTTCTTGGTTCTGTTCTTCTTCTCCTTCCTCTGTTTCCTGCTGGTCTTCACCTTGGCCTCAAGAACTCCCTAAAAATATATTTTATAAAAATAATTTTCCTAAAACAGTAATAATTTAATATTTGTCTGAATTTATTCAGATGGCCACTACGCTGTTGAATTATTCATCTGTTCCCAACCAAATTAATGGATGAAACTCATTTAGCGCTTTTATCATCATAAATTATAAATTTCACTAAATTTGTTTGTTTTGATCCACGGCCAACTTGTGGTAAAATACTTCTCTTTTTAATGTCCAGCAGTATATATTACAGAAATAGGGACGGTGGGGGGGGGGGGGATTTTTTTCGAGAAAATCATTACTGTCAATTTTGAAGAGAATTCATGATGTTTGACATTAAAACATTTTGCATACCCTTTTAATGTGTATTTAGAAACATCATTAATACATCATTTAAAACGTCAGGGATCAGAATTAATTCATTTCACTTCTCTTGTGTTGGTTCAAGGGGTACAAAGAGATTTAACGCAGTTCAAATACGTCTTGCATTTCGTAAATTTTGGGAAACTTTCAGGTACAGGGTTACCCTACTAAGGATGAAACTGGAGAGACGACTTAAAACTCTTAAAATATGAGAATCCCAGACTAATTTAAATTCTCTATCTTAGTATTTCATTGGCTTAATACTTAATTTGATTTTAGATCTACTTTCGTCGTCAGCCCTAGAAATAATTTCATCATGATTGACAAAGAAATTGAGTTGCATGGAATAAAGAAAGTCAGAAAACGACGGTATGGATTCCGTTGTCTCCGAAGTCTAATCCTGTGTGTAACCAGTGCTTAGGATCCATTTAATTTTGACGCGGATCCGGATCCTCACTGGAAAGAAATGAATCCGGATCCAGGTTATTTCTTTAAAATTTACTGAATAATAACAAAGCAGAATTTTCAAACTGTCTCTTTTTTTCTTATTTTAATGCTAAAACTTTATGAACACATCAGAAATCTGGAAATTTTAATAAACTCCATTTTTCAAAAGTTTAAATAAGAGTTTTTAGAGAACTTTTTTGTTCAGTATTTGGTTGATATTTTACCCCTTAGATCCGCATATTGTTGCGGATCCGGATCCAGGGAGCCATCTTGCGGATCCAACAAATCCGGATCCTAAGCACTGTTCAGTACTGTCTAACCCTGTATAATACTTCGTTAATTATAACGAAAAAAATATTGAAAATTCTAGTGACAGTGAACTATTTAAGTAGATATTATGCCCGGTTAACAGTACCCTTGCTATAAGTGATACGGCATGATACCAAATTATTAATGGCTTTACAAAAGCCAAAAATTATGTTTTAAATATTCCCAAGCCCATAGATTACAAGTACAGCAGTCTTTATTAGGGGTCTGTCAATGAAAAAAAAAAATGGAGCGCCACAATTAAGCGGTGTGTACACGTGGCAAAAATAGGAACTTAGTTTGAATAAAATTGTCCGCTAGATCAAATTGGATAATTGGTCTTCTGGTAGGGATACCTGAGCTAGGAACTTTAGAATGGGATACCATTAATCTCGACTGCTAATCCGAATATCTAATGTAGACACATTTGATTTCTTGCTTAAACCACTCTTTTTGGATATAATGAGAAAAATCAAAAACCGATTTTTAAAAACTAAGAGTACGTCCCGTTTCTGTATATTAATTAATTAATATTAATAATAATCTTAAATGGCGGACAAATTTTGACATTTACCGGCTTCTAATACGCGACTCTAATTGGTTGGATTTCATACACTTTTCAGGATACAATACAAGATTAAGAAACAGAGGTTTAAGCATTGATCTCGATATTCACCATACTTAAGTTCCCAGCTCCGAGTTCATATTCTTGTGGAAACTTGTGTTTACGCAAATGAACTTAAGTTTCTAACCTGTCTGACCAATCTAAACTTAGGTTCGAACTTCTTTGCGAAGTCCATGGTGTCGTAGATGAGGGCGAACCCGGAGCTCTTGCCGCCTCCGAAGTTTGTCTTGAATCCAAATGTGAAGACACGGTCAGCAGTACACTTGTACATAGCAGCCAACTTCTCACGGATCTAAAAACAAATTTGAATTAAGGTTTTGGTAAGATATTAGAATCGTGTATTTTCGGGGTAATACACACCCCAAGTTGTTAAAATGTCTGAAAATGCGAATCTGAAACCATTTACCAGGAATCAGGATTAGAAATTTCCAAATTTATTTTCCAATATTTAATTATTACTGATCCAATAGAAATGGAAAAGTATACTCAAATATTGGTTGTAAAAAACCAGAAAAAAAACTTCCTTTTTTAATACAGCAAGAAGCAAAACTCTATCTTAATGCTTAAATTGTCTGAATAAATATAGTACTTTATGTCTGCGAGGGTATACAAAGCATGTTTTTTATTAATGTCTGAAAATGCGAATCTGAAACCATGTACCAGGAATCAGGATTAGAAATTTCCAAATTAATTTTACAATATTTAATTATTACTGATCCAATAGAAATGAAAAAGTATACTCAAAAATTGGGCAAATGTCGAAACCCTATTTTGCTGTGGAAAACAGAATTCATTGTCATAAACCAAGAAAAATGGATATCTTAAAATAAATCTAGCCTTTTTACAAGTCTGTTTCATATATCCTGAGCAAATGTCTGAAAATGCGAATCTGAAACCATTTACCAGGAATCAGGATTAGAAATTTCCAAATTTATTTTCCAATATTTAATTATTACTGATCCAATAGAAATGGAAAAGTATACTCAAATATTGGTTGTAAAAAACCAGAAAAAAAACTTCCTTTTTTAATACAGCAAGAAGCAAAACTCTATCTTAATGCTTAAATTGTCTGAATAAATATAGTACTTTATGTCTGCGAGGGTATACAAGGCATGTTTTTAATTAATGTCTGAAAATGCGAATCTGAAACCATGTACCAGGGATCAGGATTAGAAATTTCCAAATTAATTTTACAATATTTAATTATTACTGATCCAATAGAAATGAAAAAGTATACTCAAAAATTGGGTAAACGTCGAAAACCAATGCTGTGGAGAGCAGGATTTTAGTAACAGACAGGGAAAAAGAACATTTCAACAATAAATTTAATTATACAATAACAGCCTTAATTAATGTCTGAAAATGCGAATCTGAAACCATTTACCAGGAATCAGGATTAGAAATTTCCAAATTAATTTTCCAATATTTAATTATTACTGATCCAATAGAAATGGAAAAGTATACTCAAAAATTGGATGAAATGGTTCGTCGTAAATATTTAACCTATTCTCTATTCAATTAACAATAAAGTCCCCCCCCCCCAACTCGATTGAGTATTGTGGATGTACGTAAAGAGTTGTCAGTTGTTCTTAGTTATAATCGTTCTTGGTAAACTCGGACAGACTTGAGTACCGGGTCGCATAAAGAAATGCTTGTACACCGAGTTCTTCATTTTCGCAAAGTACCTCTCAATCTCAATAACGAAGTGAAAAATTTGTTATTTATTCTGAATTAATTTAGGATTAAGCCAGATTCCGAAATTATTTGGTCAATATCATACTTAGACACACATGTAGAAGGGAATTGGGGGAGACCATATCGTGCTTAAACAAGAATGATGAAGGGGATGGGAGGGGGGGGGGGCGGTGTCGGGTACAGGTCGAATTAACAGTTTCCGTATTGTGTTAATTTTACACACGACATTGTGGGTATGCTCTTGTGTACGATTTTCAACCCCCCCCCATTGTCAATCTTGTACATTCCCACTAATATACGGCAAAATTAATACAGGGATATGACCTATTTTACCTCTGTTACATGTGATAACTATATTAGTAATTGCTAGGAAGGTGGGGGGGGGGGAGAGATGTTCAAATATCGTTGTCTAGAATATTATTCAGCGTTCAATTTCCATTCGTATAATCCAATCGATAAAGGAAAAAAAAAAACCTCAGTAAACCGTTTTCTACCTCTCAACACTAAATCTATAATTTGTAATTTACAAGCAAATTTCCACACTCCTCGCGCTACAGACGCACGTTACATCGTACCTTCCCATATCCCCGAAATCAGGATACTTACGGTGGTTTTGTTGACTGAGGGCTTGCCAGGGTGGAGAACATCGACAACCATCTGCCTCCTGGAGAGGAGTCGGTTCGTCATGAACTTACGGGTTCGGATAGTCACGCTTCCTTCAACCATTGTGCACCTGAAATATGTTATTTTTCACATTTCTCACTGGACTAGAAAATTGGTGTTAGCACGAGGTGTAAATAGTTATAATGAAGTTTTAAGGCCGATCAGGCCGCAATTGAAAAAACTCACGACAAAATAACTCAAATAAAAAACCAAAAATAAGAATTATGGTAACAATAACACTAAGCAATCATGTTTGTTAATATATCTTCGAATTATTAATTTAAACATTGTGAAATATTAGTCCGTGTGCTGAAATACCGAGCATGAAGTTGTGTACACCGGAAAGACTGTGTACACCAACCAGTTTCTGATAATACAGTTTCCGCTTTTGCTTTAGGATTAAAGTTTGGATCAAAAAGTCGTCTTTTATACGAATTGTTTAACTTGCCTAATCATTCGACCGGTAATGTTGCATCGTCTATACGCAACATCCTCTATACTGAACTTCCGACCTACTAATTCAAATGAAAATAGTTCAAATGAACTAAAAAATAGTTCAAATGAGCAATATATTTACTCGTTTGAACTATTGTTCATTTAAACTACTCATGTGGTCCCAAGTGCAGTAGTTGAAATGAACAATAGTTCAAATAAACAATAGTTCAAACGGCAGTAGTCCAAATGAGATAGCACCGGAGGAAACGGTGGTGTATTTTTCGACCTACACATATCCTCCATACTCCACTTCTGACCTACGCCAAATCCGCTATACTACACATCCGACCTACTAGCACGTGTGGTATTACAGCTGCTATATGGACTTGTGGCCGTAGCGCCCAGCCCCCTAGTGTCCTAGCCGCGGCGCGCGGCCCCCTAGCCTGTCCTAGCCGCAGCGCTCGGCCCAGAAATTGTCTTAACCTAACCTAACCCTCAAATAATACTAAAATAAACAGCTGGCGTAGGTCGGAAAGTTAGTAGGTCAAAAGTTCAGTAGGGGGGATGTTGGATGGTGTATTTTTGGACCTACGCCCATCCCCTCTACTGCCCATCCAACCTACGAGCATGTGGTTTTAACAGCTGTGGTAGGTCCGATGCACTGTAGGTCAGATGGGCACATTAAAAACAGCATATTGGTGCATCCGACCTACTTTAAGCTGTCGCATGGACACATTAGTAGGTCAGATGGGCATCTTTCATAGGTGGGATGGGCATTTTTCGTAGGTCGGATGGGCACTTTTCGTAGGTCGGATGGGCACTTTTCGTAGGTCGGATGGGCACTTTTCGTAGGTCGGATGGGCACTTTTCGTAGGTCGGATGGGCACTTTTTGTAGGTCGGATGGGCTCTGTATAGCCTGCAGCGCATACTAATTCCTACAGTAGATATGTACCTGCATTAGATGTTTGCAGTTTCAGTTATAAACTCTATATTTCTCTCTGAAATATTATTAATAAATCAGAGAATAATTTTTTTTAATGAGCATGTAAAATTGAAACTGTAATATGGCATACAGCCCTCGGCCTATCCCTAGAAACCAGCGATGTCGCATGACCAGTCCCATTAGGTCAAGATAGGTCAGATTAGGTCGGGTTACGTCAGATTACCAAATTGGTCGGAACATGACCAGTCCCCCTAGGTCGTGTTTGGTCAGGTTAGGTTGGGTTAGGTCAAATAACCTAACTGGTCTGATACTGGTCTTAACCTGACCAATCCACTTAGGTCAGATTTGGTCAAGATTGGTTGAGTTATGTCAGGAGACCTTACTGGTCAGAACATGACCAGTCCTTCTAGGTCATGTTTGGTCAGGTTAGGTAGGGTTAGGTTGAGTTACCTAACTGGTCTCATACTGGTCTTAACCTGAACAATCAACTTAGGTTGGATTTGGTCGAGATTGGTTGGATTAGGTCGGACTTGGTTGCTTTACCTAGCTGGTCCTAACTGTTCATAACTTGACTTTTTAGTCAGATTGGATTACCAAACTGGTCATAACTGGTCACAACCTAACCATGTGCCCTTAAGTCGGATTTAGGTCATATTAGGTCAGATTAAGACCTTCTGAGGTTCGCCACTAGATGTCTCCACCAGAAATTTAAATAAAAGCCACTTTTTGGCCTTGGATGGCTAGAATTTTCAAATATTATAATTTTTTTCAAAAGAATTGATCTGTAAGATATATAATACCCAAATATTTGAAAAAATACCATTTTTGAAAATTTTGATTTTTACGGAATTAATTGATGTTTTCGGAAAAATCAATGTCAGTAAATTGTAAATTTTGAGACAAATAGAAGTTCTTTTCTACAGCATTTGTAGCAGGTATAGATTACCCCCCCCCCCCTCCTATCAATTTTGTACATGGGTCTGACAGGAAGTGTCTTAACTTAACCTAATTTCGTTTGCACAAATGATTGACGGACTAACGTACATTCGTACTAACGTTCATTCAGACTATAACGTTCATAAATATCACTTTAGTGCAAATGAACACAAAATTATTGTTCAATCAAACTAAGATCCGCGTACGGTAGCTTTTTTTGGGCACGTTGAGAGTTATCTATTTAAAGGGTAATGTTACATATCGTATATACGCAACATCCCTTCTACTGAACTTCCGACCTACTAACTTTTCGACCTCCTTGCAATTCGTCGACCAGCTGTTTATTTTTGTATTGGCCATCGAGCGCTGCGGCTAGGACATGCTTGGGGCCGAGCGCCGTGTGGCTAGGACAGGCTAGGGGGCGGCGCGCTGCGGCCACAAGTCCATGTATATAGCAGCTGTAAAACCATGGCGTGCTGTAGGTTGGATCTGTGTAGTTTAACAGATTTGGCTTATAGGTCGGAAAACAAAAAATGTAAATTGCACTAAAAGTGTGGGCAAAAACGTAGTTATTACAAATAAACAAAAAATGTAAATTGCACTAAAAGTGTGGGCAAAAACGTATGTTATTACAAATAAACAAAAAAATTAAAGTTCAATCGAACTAAAATCTAAAATTTTACCATTTTGCTCATTTACCTAAAAATTAGTTCTTCAAAATGTGTAGTTGCACAGTGAGGTAATGTACTTCCCCCCCACCCCGTAAAGTTTCCCCTCCCCCATTTGCATCTTGGCTTTTGGTTCCGTGCTGTGTAGTGTGTATGCAGAGAGAAGTCTGTTTTTCCTTTTGTCCGCTAGGTGTCTCACTATTAAGTTTATAACACCAAGATGATTAAATGTTTCGGCGTTTTTGAACAAGAATATTGAAAGTTAAGTTCTATAATTTATAAGCAATCAATCGTTTGAATACATCATATTAAGCTTTACAAAAATGTTTGTTCATACCCATTAAATATGTGACACTGACAATCAAAGAAAACAAGCTGCAATCTTCCGTACACAGGGAAAACCTCAGAAACACAGGGGCATTTAAGTCACCGTGCTGTATTTCAGCCATTTATGTGAGCTTAGATTAATCTCTGGGCTACATTAATACAGTTCTTCATTGCGTGATGAGGAAAATCACTTCCGGAGTCTATATCAATTGAGATTATGACCTCTATTATTTTGTTTTCTAAACTTCACAAATTCCTAAACTTGTGACTATGATCAATTAAATGATTCAATGTTTCAAATTTGTGGATTAAATGATTCGTTAAACTATTGTGGATTTTACTATAATGAAGAGATATATTTAGTTTTTTGGTTGATGAAATTAAGGTACATAAAAATTGAAGACATCATGCAAGCAGGGATTAAAATAAAGGGCGCACAGACCGATAAAGTGAAAGGCACGGAGACTGTTTTGTAGGGCTCATGGCTGATCTCCCTTGTTTACTAATTTCAATTGGCATTGTACATATATGTTAATTAAAATTTAAACCTATAGCTGTCCAATATAAAAATTCTAACTTAAAAATAGGCAAACTATAGTCAGTGGTAGGCGATTAAACCAATATAATGCAGACAACTTTAAGTTTTGATTGTTAATGCTTTTCTCGAATTACAAGTTTTTAATTTCTCTCTACAGAACTCATGTACACCACAAGTACTCAATGACATAAGAACAGCCAATGTTCACAACCGACCTAGTTAATCTACAGGGTGTCCCACATCATATTAGATCGTCAATCGGTCTAAATTACGATTTTTGGGACTAATCAGAAAATTTAAGAAGAATGAATCATTTTGAAAAATTGAATAAGGTTAATATAAGAATTTTCTTGAGGAAAATGATAGGTTTTTCGAGTATTATGGGTTTATTTTGGTGTTGAAACTTGGAGATAATCTAATATGATATGGGACGCTCTGTATATAATAGGAATATCTTAAAAACATCTCTGTACATTTATATCTAATCTTTCAAGATGAAAAATGTCGTCTTATGCGCAATCTATCTTTATCTATGATTTGAACAGAATAACAAAAATTATTAACTGCTCAAAGTGAACAGATAGGATAACCAAATGTTACTTAAATGACCCGTTTTGATTTTAAAAACTTTACGCATTTGACATATGACATATATTTAAAAACAATTAAAATAAGATCTCTATGTTTATACTTAGTTTTGCCTTTTTCCATCCTTGTTTGTTTTAAAATTAGTTAATAATTGATTAAATTCCTAATTAATCTAAAAACAATTAAGTAGTATAATTCAACCCGGATATTAATTATCCCAGAAAATGAAATTAGAAAGGTAGATAAGAAGANTAGGCCAATTTTACAAATGACATTTTTTTAATTCGCCATCTTAATAAACCTTAGTATCTAAAATTATAAAATCTTGAAAAATGAGAACCTTCCCAGTTTTGAAAAGATTAACTAAACAAAGCAAATAAATTGAAGTTAACATATTTTAATTAGAATTCATCTTTTTAAACGAAATGAATTTAAAGTTTATAATGAAAGCATGTATTCTAAAACTTGATTATATAAGAAGAGATTTTTTAAGTTTCTGCAATGGGTCAAGGATGTTAAAACTGTATTTATTAAAACAAATGACGAAAACCCTGATCTATAAAATGATTTGTCAAAAAATGAGAAAATTCACAGAATCAGAATTTACAGGGGGGGGGAGGGGGGGAGGGGGTTAAAAAATAACTATTGGATCGATATT